TTTGTGTCTCTGTCTCTTTTGCCTTCTCTCCATCATGAGAGGGACCCACCTCTAAGTCTTTTTGGAAGTGCTCTAAATTTTCTCTTTGTTCTTACATAAAATCTCTGTTACACCGGGACTTGTGCAGGTTACTGTGCTCTCTGTTCATGCTGCCTGCGCTGCTTCGGTTTTATTTCCAGCTTCCATTCATTTTTGCTTTCAATTGCTGCCATGCCTCAGCTGAACGTTCTAGCTCAGCTGAGTAACTGAACCAGGTCAATTGGGTTCAGGAAACTGGGACCCTGATCCCCCAAGGCTATAGCAATCCCAGTGTCTCTTGCAGTTGTTGCAAAGATTTAAAGAGATTGAGACTTTGAGGAGGGCCTGTAGCACCTGGGGCATTGCCCCTCTCTCCTCCCTACTCCCAGCTTGTCCCCTCCACCATATGCAAGGAAAAGGGAGAGGGAGGCTAGATATTGTCAGGCTTTAATCGGTCTCAGTGATTACAAAGGGCCTCTTGGGGAGTGACAGTGGGTGAGTTGGTTTCTGGGGCTGGGATCTTTTTGGCCTGCTATTTCCTCTTCCAGAACAATTACTCTGGCAACTTGGTGTCTGAAGGCACTTCCCATAGTGTCCACAGGCCTAACTTCAGAATGATGAAGCTTTCAGGGGTCTGTCTGAGGTAGGTGTGGGCAGCCCCAACTTTCGGGTTCATTTCTCAAGTAGACAGAAGTGCCGAGGCTAATTTTAGGTTTCTAGGTCCTGACTCAGGGTCTGGGGCTTGAAAGCTGGGGCGGGGGTGCGGAACTGCTCAACCAGATAGCCCCAGCCATAGCCCCGGCCATTTGGGTGGGCTGGGCTCTAGCAGCTCAGTGTCCTGCAGCCTGGCTGACCTGCTGTTACTTGGCTCCCCTCAAAACAACCCCTTTGCCAGAATTTCACACAGGCAATTAGGAAAAGGTTTTTAGCATGACATGTATCGCTCCTCTGGTGTGGATAATGCTTTTTACTGGGGACAGTTTGGTGGATGGTGAGCGGGTAGCGGTGGCAGGCTGACCCTGCCGTGGCTCTGACCTTCCTCCTGAAGCCCCAGAGGAAGGATATCAGCCCAGCAGGCTGGCAGGGCAGTGGGAGGACACCAAGTGTGCTTGTGCTGAGCAAAGTGTGGAAGAAAGTGGGGCTGGTGGGCCTCACGCCACTGAGACTCTGACGTCAAGGATAAGGGCTGTCGGGTGGGGTGTAGAGGGTGTGGTAGATTCTGTGTCTGTGTTTCCAGAACCTCCCACAGACAATGAAGGGAACAGAGAATGCTGGGCAGCCTGCCCAGAGATAGGCTCCCTTGAGGTGGGCTCCCCTGAGTAAACAAATAAATACAGAAATAAAGCCAGGAGGCCAAATGCATCTAGAAAGTGCCCCGTCACCATCTCCTGGACTGTCACTATACCCAGTATCAAATGGGTGATGTCATTTCTGCTGAGCTCACATCTAGGCAGATTTTAAACCCTCTTAGCAGTGGTCCTCAATGTGTGGCCCCAGACCAACACTGGCATCACCCACAGACTTGTCAGAAATGTAGATTTCCAGGCCCCATCCCACGCTTAGTAAGAGAGGGCTCTGGGGTGGGATCCAGCCTTCTGGAGTGTGACAAGCCCCTTCCACGTGCATTTAGTTTATGAATCACCTAAATCACCTACTAAAAGCTCTGAAAAGTCCTGCCATGAGGATACTTGTGTTGTTTTATTCACTCTAATCGCTCCTAAACTGGCCGCAGGATCCTTCTATGGAAAACTATGGGTTTGTGTCCCTAGGAATACTCTTTGACAACTAGGAAAAACATGGACTTGGTTTCTAGTGGATGTTGTCTGAATCCAGTTCCGAGGCCCAGCAGCCCCGGAGGCCTGGCCTCTTCACATTGCTGGGTGGTTGTTAAGCTGTAAGTCAGACACCATCGTGCTTAGTACGGTCCTTGGTTCAGAATGACGCTCGCCAAGTCGTAGCTGTGACAGCTATCGTCACAATCACTATCACAGCCAGGAGTGGGCAGGTGTTACCAGAAGAGTCAGATACTTTTACCTATCTCCCTTTTTGCTCGTCATTCCCCCTCTTCCAGATCTCTGTTCTGTTGTGGGGTGTCAGGCTGAGTCCTACCATTTCCTCCTCACACCTGGGTTCTCCAGTACACTGCCCCAACGACTGCCTGTGAAGTTCATTGCCCTTCCCCAGGGGAGCAGGAATCGGGCTCCCTGCCTGATGCTTGACTCTAGGAATGGTGTTACCAGAGGAAGGAGAGGGGCACAGGCACACAGGACGTCCAGCACATGATATACCCGGCGTGGCTGCTGTCGGGTTAAGGCAGTTTGGCCAGCACAGCCCATGTCCACCCCTAGTGGCCCACTGGCTAATTAACCGCCTTTATCAGGATTTGCTCCTCTGCTTCAGAGAGATAAACAGGGACTTCAATAAGAGCACCCAGTTTTCTTTCTTCCCAGAACAAATAACTTGGCACCATATAGTACAAAAGAGTATTGCCTCTTAGAAACTGCGGGATCTTGGAACAGTTAACTATTGTCTGCCTTTTAGATTCTTCACCTGTAAAGTGGGTTTGGTAAAATTTACCTTACCCGACAACTGTGGAAATTAAAGAAAGACCCTGACAGTGGGAGCACAGTGCTCAGCACTGGGCAGGTGCTTACTAGACACGGAGCTAGAATCTCACCACCCCCCGGGCGACATGGCACCCAGATAGGTCCCATCTTTCACATATTCATTCGTGGATGGCATATTTACTAAGCATCTACTATCTTTATCCATGATACCTGCTGCAAATACAAAGATGAATAAAACCTCAGCTTCTAGAGGGGGTCACAGACAATAATCTACTAGCTACACAGTTACTGAATTACAATTGTGGTTACGGCAAAGAAGGAGAGGTCTTCCTTCCACAGCCAGCCCAGCCCAGCCAGTAACAGGCTTCCTTCCGATTCCCTATTTATTTTCTAACTGTGGAATTTGCCATTTACTGCCTAGTATGGTTATCTGAATGCTTCCCAAGTGTTTCCTAAAGCTAGTCAGGGGCAAGGACTGGGGATCTCAGGCCACCCTTGCCCCTGTTCCACACTGAACAAATATGCAGGCTGAGTTAAGGATAAAATACATTCTCAGATCAGCATCTCTCTCAGCAACGGCAATTTAGAAATGGCACAATTGTTCAGAGATCTTCCAACATGGAATGATCATACTGACAGTGTTTGAGCCAGGACAGAGGGCAGGACAGGAGTGAAGCGTGTAAGACTACCATATGAAAGTGGTAACCAGAGTTAATTTTTTTAAAAGTCCCTAGGACACATATTGTTCCTGAGAAATGGGTCTTTTCAACATCATTGTCAAATCTGTATCAGAGAAAAAAATTGTGTTCCTTTGTTTCAGAGTTCTCAGCAAAACCAGCACGAGCTCACAGTTCCTTGGATGGCAATCCTAGGCTGTGCTAATGAGATGGGGCTGGAGATGGAAAACCCAAGTTTTGGACAACTAGCTTGAGTGACCCCAGGGCAGAAGGAACCTTTCCTCTCTGGATGTGGCCACAGCATTGTTTGGACTGGCCTTTCCTTGGGTTGTCTGACTCACTAGTGACTGTCAGCCTGTCCTAGCAAGGCAGGTGATGTGTTCCAGGACCCTGTATGTTGGGACTTTATCTCTAAATGTCAAATACAGTAGAAGCAAATGAGGTCACTTGGCTGGTGGGGGGCAGAGGAGAAAAAAAGTAAAAGGGGAAGCTGGGGGCCAGGAACGGAGTGAGCCCCAGTGTTATGTGGCACCAATCTCAAATTATTCCTCATGAACGCCTTCACCTCCCAAATACTGGCTGCTCTTTTGCCTTTTCTCAAAATAGCACTTCCACATCTCTACTTGCTGCAGTTTGAACAGATCCTCCGAAACTCACGTGGAAACTTAATCCCCAAAGTGGTGGTCTGAAGAGATGGGGACTCTACAAGTCTACCGGGTGAGGAGGGCTCTGCCCTCATGGATGGATTAATCCACTCACGGATCCACGGATAAACTGGGTTATCATGGGAGGGACTTTCTAAGAAGTGGAAGAGACACCTGAGAGCCCACATGAGCATAATCAGTCCCAGGCCCTCACCATGTGCTACCACATGCTGCCCCATGCCCCCTGTGCAGGGAGTCCCCACCATCATGCAGGCCCTACCCAGATGCTCCTCCTTGACCTAGGACTTGGCCTCCATAATTGCAATAAATAAATTCCTTTCCTTTGCAAATTCCCCAATTTTAGGTATTCTGTTATAAGCAGCAGAAAGTGGACAATGGCATTACTCCAGGAAACTTTGGAAAGCACAGCTCGGACCATGTAATACTTCTGACTAGTAGCCTTCCTGCCACCCTGAAAATAGAGTCCTAAGTCCAGGGTTTGTTCTGCAACTTGGGGGCAGTGTCTTTTGCTTGTCTGATTCCCTGGGAGTTGACAGATAATATAAGCTAGTCAGGTTCTGAAGGATGAGTGGGTGGGTGGCATGGCTCTCCGGGAAGCTCCACCACCACCCTCCAGCCTCACATCCCCAGGTCCCCAGGTGTGCCGCACTTTGAGTCCCACGGCGCTTCTTTTAAGCCTCTGTGCCATGCTCTATCACACTGTGGCTCCTTAAGGGGGTACACAAATCACCTCTTTAAGGGGGTATACATCCTCCCCTCAGCATGGGCAAACCCCATCATTCTTCAGAGACCGCTTGGTGCCTCACCACCTTCCTAAGCCCCACCCTCACTGTCAGGCAAGATTGGAGGCCGTGACAGTTTGGTTACCTGTGACCTCCACTGTACTATGAGCCTTTCAAGGATGGCAGTGACCTTTCATTAGTTTCTATGGGACAGTATCTGGCACAGAATAAAGGAGCAACAAATATATGCAGAACGCGTGAAGTCGTGACTAAGCCTCAGGGTGGGGCCCTGACTGTGCAGCCCGGGGCCTTAGTAGGCTCCACCGGGCCAGATGCATGGCAGACACTTACGTATTCCACTTCTTTGGATGGGTCTCCGAGGCTGCCGTTGGTGGTTGGGGCAGCGGTCTCTGTGGCCTCTGGCTTTTCCTGTTGCTTCCCCTCCTCCTTGGGCAAGCCACCCTGCCCCGGGAGGGCCACCTCTCCCACGCCGAGGGCTTCACTCTTATAGTGCTTGACGAATTCTTCCATCACTTTCAACTCATTCTCCGAAAGTCCGCGGCAGCGAGCGGGGTCTTGGTCATACATGGGGAGCTGGTGCATGAGCTGGCGGCGGCGGTAATAGGCGCCCTCGGTGCCCGTCACTGGCTGTTTCTCCTTGGGGATGAGCTCCATGTACTGCAGGCCCTGGGAGGAGGAGGGAGAGACAGGTGATGTGGACAGGACTCCCTCCGTCAAAGAAACAATGACAGAAACCAGGGAAAACTCAAAACGCAGTATCTTCCAACATGGTCAGCATCTGAAATACATGGGCTTTATTTTTTAACTTAATGTAGCTTCTTTATTCAAATTAAGAAGGTAATATCTGTCCATTGTCCTAAATAAGACACCACAGATGAAAGGAAGAATGGACAGGAAAAATATGCATCGTCTATCTACCTTGTGCGTGTAGGAAATGTTCTATATCTTGATCTTGGTGGCAGTGCCAGGAAAGTGTGTCTGTGTCAACAACTGAACACACTCAGATGCACGCACTTGATTGTATACGTGTTATAGAGTCATGTGCCACAGGACATTTCCGTCTGGACCACATAGTGCAGTGTCCCGTAAGATTACAACAGACTTGAAAAACTATCTCTTAGTGATTTGTGTTCCAATTGCCAACAGTATCAGCATAGTCAAAAGCTGTAGCGCAGGAGCAATAGGAAATATCATACAGCCTAGGCATGCGGTAGGCTATAGGTGGGCCATTATGAAAGTTTTGAGATACATAAAAATCAAGAACTTTAAAATCTATACAGACAGAACAAATGAAGCCCTCTCAGCAGCACCAATAAACCCAGCAAATTGAAACCTCCACAGGTGAATCAGAAAGGATGCTCTCGACTGTGTTTCTGGGAAGTGAAATAACGGACCATAACACGGTCTTTCTCAAATCTTCATACCATGTAGGTTTGTGTAAGTACATCCCATGATGTTTGCACAATGACAAAATCACCTAACAACACATTTCTCAGAATGAATCCTTGTTCTTAAGAGGCCCTGACCATGCTTTGATTTAAAAAGCATATAAAAAAATTATACCTCATTACAATGAGGCCCATGATGATCGCTTGATGACAATTCTGCATTCATCCTTACAGACTATTTCCTGTCTGTATTTATTAAAACTTATTTGAATTTTACTTTCTCTCAGTGTGTGTGCCACTTAAATGAGTTCTTGATCCGGAGCTTCTGTTTCTCCTATGACTGTGATAGCCCATGTTCGTTGTGTGGGTTAGAGAACAATCTTGACGTTGAGAAAAAACACTTGTTTGCATCTGTCTGTTGATGCTCTGTTCACTTACTAGCTAGATCTCTCCTCGCTAATAATAATAACCTTTATTTTATTTCTTATCCTCCAAAGACTAACTTAGCTTTCACTGTTGGATAGCACTGGGATGATAAAGGCATCTTATTAAATTTACTCGTGGGCTAAGTTATCCATCAGAATTTAAATAAGGATCATTTTGCTTTGTTCCCTGACTTTCGAGTAATGGTAATAATTACAATTACAAGTCAGCCTCTGTCGCCCAGGGAAAGTTGCTATTTCCAAATCTCTTTTCTACTATCATTTTCTGGAGAGACGCCAATTGACAAAACTCTTACAGTACAATGACAAAAATATTGTAAGTTGGCTGACCTCATAAAACCTGCTGCCCCGCTTGGGACTGTCTTCTCACTGGCTCTGCAGTTGATGTGCTTCATTTCTACTTTTGCTCAGGGCAGAAAAGGCCCAATCTTGTCTTTCCTGCTCTTACAAGCAGTGCCGTATCCTTTGGCCTCTCCCTGGTCCTTAAGGATCCCGAGTACATTTGAGTTGACTCTCTACTGGGACCATTCACTCTCTGAGGACAGGCTGTGTCACTTCTGCATTAGCAGCAAGAGCAAAGACTCTGGAGTCGGCCTGTCCTGAGTCCGAGTCCTGGTCCTGGGCATGCTAACTTGTGTGACCACAGCCACGTCACTGCCTCCCTGTGCTCGGACTTCTCAACTCTAAAAATGAGGATCATAAAACCGAGAGTGGCTGTGGGGTTAGTGAACAGACCTTCAGCATCTACACTGCATGTGTTATTGATCTTTCCTTTCACTTTTCTCTCTCTGACTTTTCTATCTGTTTAGATTTGTGACTTCCTCGAGAGTCACCAGCTACGTAACTCAGAGCCGTCTTCCTCAAAAGACATGGTGTAGGACAATCGTGGAAAAGTTACTAAAATGCAGATTCCCAGGGCCCACCCCTCAACCCCCATCAAGATCTCAATTCAGTAGTTGAGATGTGGCAGTCAGGAATATGCATTTTATTTTTTTTATTTCTTTTTAATTTTTGTTTTAAATTTCAGATTAATAGGTGGGTACAGATGATTAGGCTATATTGTTTGCACTTCTTTTTTTTTTTTTTTTTTTGAGACAGAGCCTCAAGCTGTCCCCCTGGGCAGAGTGCCGTGGCATTACAGCTCACAGCAACCTCCAACTCCTGGGCTCAAGCGAGTCTCCTGCCTCCGCCTCCCAAGTAGCTGGGACCACAGGCGCCCACCACAACGCCCGGCTATTTTTTTGGTTGCAGCCGTCATTGTTGTTTGGCGGGTCCGGGCTGGGGATTCGAACCCGCCACCTTAGGTGTACGTGGCTGGCGCCTTAGCCGGTTGAGCTACAGGCGCCGAGCCTGTTTGCACTTCTAAGATAAAGTTCAAGTTGTAGTTGAGCCCTTCATCCAGGGATGTGCTGTGTACTCTTACATTGGGCACATTAGGCGAGATTTACCAATACCCTCCCCCTTGCCATTCCCTCCCCCCGGAATTTGCATTTTAAGCAAGAATCCTGGGTAACTCTGATGTAAAAAGTTGGCCCCTGGACCTTACTTGAACTACTATTTTAGTAAAATATTAGCAAGAGACAAATGAGATAAATTAACTGTGATTTTCAAGCATTGGGCAGAGAGTTGAGGAGAGGCCAGTGAGTGATTCTGGCTTCTTTAGATGTCTGCAAGAGTCTAAAGTTTAAATTTGCTGGCAACATGGATTTTATTTCCTTTAAAACGAAATATTTTTTACTTCATTTACTTCATAGGCAGTATTCCTCTAATTTAAAAAGAGTTAATCTAGTTTAAAATTGCTTTTTCTTAGAAACGTAAACCGTATTATTATGGGGATAAGGTAGTTCATGGTTTATTAATTTAAAAATGTGCAAAGGCACCTTCTAATAGAATCGACAGGGTGTCCAGTGAATGAGTTTCCCCCTCGACCCGACTGTGAACTGTCTGAATATTAATGTGTTTACAGGTAGCTGTCCACTTTGGCTTCATGTATTACTCATTTTTATGACACAGAAATCTCCCACCTGGCAGGTCCCAGGGATGGGGAGTTGAGGGGGAGACAGAGGTCAGGGCTACTGCCTAAGACCTGCGAGGGGCTCACTGTTAGTCTTGGGGTAAGCGCTTTCCATTTCTGCACCAACCTGACTCTGAGCCTGAGAGTCAGGTTCTACCCTCTGAGAATTCCCCTGCCCCATAGCTTATCACTTGGGGCCAGGCTCATTTTGAAATTGTGGGAATTCACCTGGAAATTCGTAATAAACATTTGCTGTTGTTGTCTGACCCTCCACTGGGCACACAGCCAAACAGAAGCCCTGTCAGGAACTCAACCTCTGGGAAGAGCTCGGTCCTGACCCCACCTTAGGAGACTGTGGTGTGTGTGGGTTTTCCTCCTGATCAGTCGAGGGAATGACAGGGGGCTTCCAGAACTATGTCAGACAGGCCTGAAGGACCTCCTCTCAAATTCTGGGGTGCATGAGAGCCACTTGGAGGCCTTTGGGAAAGCTTCTGAACCCACTCTTGGATTCTAATGAAGGAGGTTTGGAGTGAGAACTTGCAGGGACACTCCTCTGTGGGGACAGCGGGTAAGGAAAGGGGGTGGGCACATCAGAGACAATGGGTAGGGGCAGCCCAATAGCCCATAGACTGGGGCAGGGCAGAGGGCCCTGGGGAGGGATGTGGGGGCAGAGCCCTGGGTGGCAAACACACCCACACCATCCCTTTCCAATTTCTTGCCCAGGGCCTGCCCTGCTCCCAGGATCTAAAGAAAGATTTTGGAGACAAGGAACCAAGGGCTATGTTCACTCGCGCCAGAGTGGGCAGCAGGCCTGGCCAATATCTTACTAACTCCCAGCGTTGAGCAGCCCCGGGCGTAGGCTGACTCAGCTCAGGGGAGAGTCATTGCTTTCCCTGAGAAGACGGCTACTCCCCCAGGTTCCGTGGTTTGAGGAAGGACAGGAGTAGCCCATGCTGAGGGAGCGCTCACTATGTTCCCGGCGTCCTTCCAAGTGCCTGACACACAGGAACCCATTTCATTCTCACACTCCTATGAGGAAGGTACTAATGTTACCCCTTGGGAAACTGAGGCACGGACAGCTTAAGTTGCCTCCCCAAGGCCACACAGCTGGGATGCCATACAGAGAGCTTTGAACTCAGCAGCTTGGACCCCAAACGGCTCTATATTGCCTTTCTAGGAGATGCGGAGGACTTTCAAAGAGGAGGACGTTCCCAATCTCTGGGGGTGATTCCCTCAGTCATCATTTCAGGGTGAGTGAGCTGTGCATCCCAGGGCCAGGATGCCCCATTCCCAGGACGTGTCTGTTTTTCTGGCCTTCTAGGACCTGCATTCTCCCTGTTCAACTTTACACGTAAAAGCTGTGTTAGGAAACCGGGAGCAGCAGCCCCGGTGGCTGGTTGATCTCTACACTCACAGTGTCTTGTCCCAGCTCTGTGCTGGCTGCGGCTGTAAAGCTAACGGAATTCCCAGCTAGGACCCTGGAGAAAGGGAGTTCTCCTTCCCAGGCCCCAGTGCTCCTGTCACAGCTCGAAGACCCAGCTGGGCGCCACTTTCCTCTTTGCATGACCAAAGCCACGGTGTGGAGCTGTCCCCACCAGTGTGTGCTCTGTGGCCTGGCCTTGCCGGGCTGGCCCCTGTCCCCTCCCCCTAGTCACATCCATGGCAGGCACTACCCACCAATGCCCTCGCCCCATGAGGATTTCAGACGCCCTCTCAACACTGTCCTCCTGGCAACCACCTTCAACTGGCATAGACTTGGGGAGGGAACGACAAGGACGGTTTGGCCCAAGTCAGCCTCTTGCTGCAGCTTTCACCCTCGGAGCAAATCTCCCAGGTAACACTCCAGGGAGTGACTGAGGTCATGTTCCCGTAACTCACAATGCACGAGGCATTTTCTCAGACCACTTGGAAAGATTGCTTTAGGTTTTTAACTTTTTCCTGAAGACCTTTCTACACTCTGGCTGGGATATCGTGGGTGGAGAGCTTCCCAGAATCTGTCTGTACCAGGCGAGAAATAAAAAATGCAGAGAAAAGTGGAAGGGAAGGTGCTCCTACCCCGAGTCAGGCGGCAGAACACGCGTGGGCTCTGGGACGGGAAGACCCTGTCCTGGTCAGCCAAGGACGTGAATGGGTTTCATCTCCCCTGTCAGCCCCAGTTGACAGTGGGGAGCTGGAGTGCTGTGTTGAGAAGGATCCCGAGGGCTGATTAGGGCTCAGTGGGAAACAGGGCTCCGACTGACCAGCAGTGTCTGCAGGGTGTGGGAGCAGAGGGCGGGCCACCCAGCACAGGCTCCTCACAGACCCCGGTTTGCCTGCTGTAAAATGAGCTGTAACATGCTCAGGACACAGGGAGCGGCAAGCTGCTGCGGAGACACACCCGCAAGACGCTCGGCGCATGCTGGCTGGTTTCCTTCATCTTCTCCCTCTAGCCTTGCCCCAAATCCTGGCTGGATGTTAAAGCCCAGTTCCAACCCCTCCCTGTTCTTGATAGAGTCCCCCAGGAATGCTAAACCAAGTCACCTGCTCCTTCCTGCCTCCTCTCCCACCTGCCAGTCCCCCTGGGCTGCCCTAGTAAGGAGTGGCCAGAGTTAAAGACCTGGCTCTATACCATGAAATACTATTCAGCCATAAAACGATGGAGACTTCACAACTCTTGTACTAACCTGGAGTTGAAACCCATTCTTCTTAGGAAAGTAGGACAAGAATAGAAAAGTAAAAATAATAACAAAAAGAAGGAAAAAAAAAGAAAAGTATGTACCCGATGTGCTCAATATTATTATGAAGCCAGTAGACAAACTAACACATGCCCACATAAGAGAAAAACTCAATTCCATTCAAGCTGGGGGAGGGGGAAGGATGTAGAGGGACAGGGGAAGAGAAGGGAGGAGGGAGAGGGTTTGGGGTGCTCCCACCTAATGGGCACCATGTAAAGGTATACGGCACTCCTTCTGGGTGTGGGACACAACTACAACAGGGACTTTACCTAACAAATGCAAATATTGTAACCTAATTGTTTATACTCTCATATTAATTTGAAAAAAAAAATCCTGGCTCTGCCATTAGCTGTGGGACATTTGACCCATTGCATCACGTCTCTGAGCTTCAGTTTCCCCCTTTGGAGATGAGAGTAACAATAGTACGTGCCTAGCGGTGTTGGAAAATTAGATGAGATTATACAAGGTTAGCTCTTAGCACAGTGGCTGGCACATAGTAAAAACTCATCAAATACTGGCAATTAGGCTTATTGTTACTAGTCTTTAAAGGCTGAAGCATTTCTTTGGCTTCGAGGGATGACAGCAAAATTCAGGGCCCTTCCCCAAATACAATCAGTCCTAATCACTAGGTAATTTTAAAAAGTTGGGAGGAGGAATGGGAAGGCGGAGTTAATCTCAGAAAAGTGACCTGTACCCCAGCGCAGAGCAGAAAGAGGGGCTCTAATAGCCCTGTGGTTTTATGAGCCAGCATTAACCACTACCTGACAGTGCCATCTCCTGATGAGTCTGGGGTCAAAGGCATTGGGAGTTTTCACCAGCCAGTTGCTGACGCCCACAGCCAGGGAGGGCTTTTATGAGCTGCTTGCTTCAGTTTCACCTGACATCTTAGAGACCCACTAGATCGCCTACCCAGGCTTGGGCCTGGGGGCAGGCCCAAGTTCTGCACCACCTGGCATGTCCTGGCTCTGCTGTTGTCTGATGCCACCCTCTGTGGGCCCAGGATAGGCCCTGGATAGCCCTGAAAACTTATGAGGGCCGATTAGCCATTCTGTGTTTCCTGCCACATAAAATTCCTGCCTCACGGGGTGGCTGTGTTTATGCTGATGTGTTCTTTTAAAATGTGCATTATGTTTTTAAAAAAGTACAGGTCCTAAAAGAAAAAAATTATAGTGTCTCTTCATTTTATCTGTGAGGGATCCCGTCCCTCCACTCCAGCGACAGCTTGGAACTGTACTTCTCCAGCCCTCTATGGCTGAGGATCAAGGTTTGTTTTCCACTTAATGCAGCATGATTTGTGGGCTCACTCATGTGAGTCTGACCACAACAGAATTCTGTTGAATGAGATGAGTTCTCATCACCAGTTGCATGTCAAATTGCTAGAAAAATTTCCCATTTATTCTCAACTTCTGTTCTTTCCTCACTATGCACCAGTTACAGGGACTTTGTGGAAGGGGTCCAGTCCACAGCCTGTGCCTGCAGTATCTCTGTCCTGGAAGGGGACAGGGCGCAATCTTGCCATGCCTACAGCATGTCCCGCACTGTGCCGGGTGCTGGGGTGTCAGGGTGCACAGCACAGGCAGGGTGTCTGTCTGCCCTTGTGGGCTTCACTTTGCCCCAGTGTGGAGAAGAGATGAGAGCTAAGCCCAGAGCAATAAAAGTGTCCAAAAGAAACAAAGAGAAAACGTGTGGTAGGAGGTGGGGTGGCCTCTATTGTAAATTGAGTAATTAGGGGAAGCCTGTGAGAAGAGCTCAGCCACACAAAGAGCAGGGAAAGAAGGTTTCAAGCAGAGAGCACTGCCAGGCAAAGGCCCTGGGGAGGGCGAGCGCTCGGTGTGTTCTGGAACCCGAGGGAGGAAGTCAGTGTAATCTAAGGCACTGAGTGGGCAGGGAGTAGTCGGAGCCTGCAGGGACAGGATCGTGTGGGACTCTGAAGTTCTTCCAGGAAAGGAAGACTTGCCTTTCTAAAATTGATGAAGCTTTTAAAATTTTATCTTATTGACCTGTAGAAGTCCTGTAGCCCAGTGGTTCTCAACCTTCCTAATGCTGAGACCCTTTAATACTGCTGAGAACTGCTGCTCTCGCCCTTGTTACTTCAAGTGTGGGCTGGCAATCTGCAGCACCAACATCACCCGGGAGTGTTAGGCGTGCAGTGTCTCAGGATGGTTCTACCCCTGCTGGGAGCATTTTAATGAGCTCCCGGGATGGTTCACATGCATGTGGAGATTAGGGAGCCCTGGTCTGGTGCATCAGATCTTGAAGGTGGCCACATGGGGCATCACTTGGGGAGTCATTTGCAATGCTCACATACAGTGATTTGGATTCTGCAATCTTGAGCTTTTGACTCAGTGGTCAAGAGGGAGACCGGAGCATGGGGACTTTTTATAGTGAGCAGCCAGAGTGCCACCTTACGCAAGTCATTTGTTCTCTTTGGGCCAGTGTCTTTTCCACCCTCCTGAAGGCCACTTTGACCATTTTTGTCCCCGACTTCTCGGGGATCCTCTCCTCCAGGATTGCATATAACGAGTTTATTCTTCCTTCTAAGACCAAGAGGCTTCAGCTTTTAGAGAGGAAAGAACTATTTTTCTGCTCTCTTACAGGCTTCTGAAGGGTATATACCCCAGGCTACTTTGAGAGGAAATGAACATCTTGCCGATGAAGACAAGGACTTTTGAGATTTTTGAGTGTTCAGAAATAAGGAACCTAAAGAAAACAGAAAATGTCTCTGCACTAGAGCTGGAAGACCCCTTAAGAGTTTGTATGCATTTCCCTACTCATCTCATGGATGAGGAAAACTGGCCCAGACTTCACTTCAATGTAACATAATGTAGGAGCCTGGCTGAAACCACAGCCACCCTACCATTTTTGTGACCTTGACCTCCTTTGAGAGGTCAAGATGGCTACCGCATCTTTGAAATTCAGAAACCCATGCCATGACTGACATTTGGTTGGGGGAAGCTGTCTTACCAGTTTCTGGGTGACTCCAGGGGGAGCCCACTCATAGGTGATGGTGTCGAAGGTAGGATCCTTCCCAGTGGCAATGGGGTTGGTCATGATCATTCGGTTCCTCTTGTAAATCCGGATGCCGTCTCCGCCTTTCACCCGGGCAGTGAGGGTGGAATACTTGGAGTCCATCAGCAAGCGACCAATTTTCCGATCATCTTCTAGGTCGGAGCTGAGGCAGTGGTCTTCCTGACTGCATCTGCAAGACTTGCATATTTTCCTGGAGGGTGTGGGAAACAAGGAAGATCAACTTCCAGAAAAGAGGCGGAGGCTTCCACTAGCAGGATCTACCCTTTTGAAAGCAAGTTCAAAATTTAACTTTAGTAACTTGGAATGCTAAGCAGTAGATGAGTGGTAACCTGAGACAATGCCTTTGGCATTGGAAATTGCACTTTGGGATTGGAAACAGCAGTTTTTCTATTCGTCTATTTGGGTGGAATGAGGAATGTGATTTTTGTTGGTAAGAAGGGTAGCACGTTTTTCCTCCTGTGGTTGCCATGGCAAAGATTGGTTTGTTCCTTAGTTATGTTCTAAACCTAGAGTCTGTGTGGCCCATAGCCTGAACCTGGCCCACAATCTGCTTTTGTAAATAAAGTTTTATTGGAACACAGCCATTCCCATTTATTTACATATTGTCTACGCATGAGTTGTTGCAACAGAGACCATCTGTCCTACAGGCCTAAAATATTTACTATCCATCCCTTTACAAAAAAAGTTTGCTAACCTCTATGCTATAGAATTATTAAAATTGTCTCCCAAGATTCATGAGCCAGGAAACTTCAGCAACTTTTAAGCTTTTTAGCATACACGCTGAAGTTAGAATACAGCAGAAATTTTCTTCAAAAATCTTGTGGACAGGACTCGGGGGAAGGAAGCTAGCTGAGGAAAACCCTTGGAGTGGCAGGAGATTGATGTTCTCAGGGGAAGGCTTTGTCAGGAGGCAGGAGAAGGAAATGAATCCCGGGGAGCAGTTCAAACTTACTTGAAAGCCTCACCACACTTCTCTTTGACAATTAAAAAAGAAGTGGCTGCTTTGTGTCATGCTGGTGAGGTTTAGAAATCCAGAGCTTGAAGGTGTGAGAGGACAACTGCTCCCCTCCCCTTCTGGCCTTTCACCAGGGGCAGGCTGTGCTGTGTCCATGCTCTGACACAGGCACGTTAAGAGCTTGTTAAGTAAAGTAAGCAAGGTCAAGACCAACCGCAGGATGCAGGGATGGGGAAGGCCAAAGCGGGGGAGACCTCTCTGCAGCTGCACGATCCCATCACGGGACAGAATTCAGTTCCAGGTTGTTGGAACTCTTTTCCTCTCCTTTCCTCACGTGATGGACACATTCAGTCATATGCACATTTCATAAGTATTGACTGTGGGCCAGCAGGGGCAGTCTGATGGTTTATACCAGTGGTTCTCAACCAAGGTTCCCCAGGGGGATTTTAGCAAAGTCTGGAGACATTTTTGTTTGTTCCAGTGGGGAATGGGGAATGCGGTGGATATGGGGGTGCTGCTACCGGCAGCTAGAGTCTGGCAGAGGCCAGGGATGTTGCCAAACAACCTGCATTACACAAGACAGTGCCACAACAAAAAATTATGTCAACTATGTTGAGAATGGGAGACCCTGATCTAATAGGAAGAGAAGGAGGCCCTGTTGCAACCTTAAAGGACCTTTTAGTTGGTGGAGGAGAGGAAGAGTAAATCAGATGGAAACTGTAATGTAGAGTAAGTTTGGGCCAGAAGAGAGCTGCACGTGATCTGGGGTGGTGCTGCTGGCTTGGACCCGTTCCCCAGGAGGTTAGCAGGTGGTACATAGAAAGAGGTTTCAGTTTCATGGGTCACAAGTTTGGAAAACAATGAGTTAAGGAGGATTAAACCCCTTTCTTTGGGGCAAGGCTGCTCCTTATCTTCAACGCACTGATATACACTGTGGCATTTTGAACGTTATCTGAGAGGCTTGTGGTCCAAGTTCACATTCAGTGGGCTGCAATTTGAGAAATGTTAAAATCAATGAGCTCAAGGATTCATTCCAGCAGGGCAAAAGAGAGAATGACCCTGATGGTGCTGCAGGGCAAACATGAGAAGTCTTCTCCTTCTCAGAAGAAAAGGTTGCTTGTTTTGCAGAATTGGGGCATTTTATTCGCAATTAATATCCCTTTCAGAGCCAAACTGAGGAGACTGCTTCTCTAAGAAGATGGGTGATACACAGTGCCAGCGGCTTAGAGTGGGAAGTGAGGACGGACAGCTGGAGGTAGAGGAGGATGAAGAGTCAGAGCAAAGGCAATCCCCGCATGGAGGGGCACCAGAGGGAGGGCCCGACTCCAAGTCCTCCATGTCCCACCAACCTGCTGGCCTCCCAAACACCTTCATGCATGGGACTGGGTGAGGAAGCTGAGCTTTGCCTTTTTGTTTAACGTGGAATCTCAGGATGCCGTTAGAGACGTCGGGAACGCAAAACATTTGAAACAGGCAATTTTAACAAATGCGAGATGGTGTTCACATCAGTACCCCATTTATTCATGCTGTTTGTGCTGCCAGGCATGTTGCTGGGACTTTATAGATGGAGAAGACACCCACTTGCCTCACCCTACTCTTCCCAGGCACCCCAATTGTGGAGGACACAGACACACCCCCCAAAGATCCCCAATGGTATTAAAATGGACATTTCTGCTATTTGTCTCCAACAGTTTGGAACTGGATTCTGTCCCATGAGAATAACTAGAGGGGGTTTTCCTATTAAGCCAGGGTGGGTGAAACTTGGATCCTTTAAATATCTTTCAAGCCCCTGAGAGTCTAAAAATTAGAGTGTAAAGGGCTCACCCTTAAAGTTCTGAGAGGTCAATGCTTCAAAATGGATTGAATTGAAGTCCCTAGAGGATTGTTTAACCCAGAGGTGACCCTGGACATGAGGACCTGCAAGGAATATGCATTTCTCAAAGACAGGTCCACTTGATGTCCAAATCATTGGTTGGAGGACAAAGAAACACAGGGATTAAAACAACGCTAAGAGACTTCTGCTTCTAGCCTGAGGAACAGAATCCAAAACTGTCCTCCCTCCATAAACAACTAGAAAACCAGACAAGATGATATTAAAAGACCATTTCCAGATGTTGGGCAGAGGCTGTGCAGGGCTGTGATCCCGGAGAGAAGGGGAAACATGATTGAATAGACTCGGTGGACGCATTTAGGGAACATTTTCTCCCTGCCCAGATAACTTTAAAAGGAGACATTCTAGATGCCTTCAGAGTGCGGGAGAGGAGTCCACACTGTCCTGAGACCCTAAAGGAAGACACAGGACCAGTGGAGTTGAAATAATAGGGAGGCTAACTTTCTTCCAGGCCAGAAAGAGCTCAAGTAGCCCAAAAGTGTGGAGAGTTCCCCTCATGGGAGTGTTTTGGTTCTAGAAGGAATTTTTTTTTTTTGTAGAGACAGAGTCTCACTTTATTGCCCTCAGTAGAGTGCCGTGGCATCACACAGCTCACAGCAAACTCCAACTCCTAAGCTTAGGCGATTCTCTTGTCTCAGCCTCCCGAGTAGCTAGAAGGAATTTTTTGTAGGGGATGAAAGGCTGATTTAGATGACCTTGAAGGTCTCCTGTATCTAAGAGACCAAGTAAGCTGCTCTGAGCTTGAGGACTGGCAGAGAATGAAGGCAAGGACTGGTCTTCTGCTTTGAAAGCTTGTGGCCCATAGGATTGCAGAATGGTCAGGAGCATGGGACTGGGTTTCCTGTATATCTGAGTTCAGATCCTTCCGTTAGTAGCAATCTCCCCATTACCCACCCTCACTGTCCTGATCTACAAGATGGAGACAAGAAAACCTACGATGTTGGCTTATTTCAACATTTCAGTATAAAAGATTTCACACCGTTCACTAGTAGTTGGGATTGCTGTAATAGCCATCACACAATGGAAGTCAGTATCATTGAGAAAACACTTCCCAAACTTTGTTGCCCTGGTCGAGCGCCCAAGGCGAGCACTATGGCAATGATGGCAAAAACCTTCTTTGCTACGGTGTGCCACAGACTTTAGCCTCCTTCTCCCAGGGCTGCAGGGACAGACATGCAGGCTGTGCCCTGCACAACTCTTGGGGGATGCCACCCCCATAGATGCTGTTGTGAATACTGCCTGGAGCTGTGCAATGTGCTGGCCTCACCCCTTGTTATCAGAACCCTTAGTGAATAAAAAGAAAGATACACTGCAAGTCCAGGTCCAGCTGGCTCTTATGGCTCTCCTGTGTGGACACGGATCCCAGGCCCTGGCTTTTAAGTACTGTGGACAAAATGACCCCCATTTCTGTCCCAGGGGCTAAACCAGACCAAATCCCACCAGCAGGAATAGTGGTACAGTGAGGGGAGATCAATCCCCTTCACCAAGCCCCGGGGCAGACCATCCTACCACACGCACATCAGGCACCAGCTGACCCCTGCCCACATCTTGCCAGAGCAGTCCTTGCTGGGCTGGGCTTGGTGGCCCCACCACGAAATGGCCTAGGAAGCTCCTTCAGATCTTTGCTCCTCCTTAAAGGACTTCTTCCACGTTTCTGAATCGGACAAGCAGGAGTGCCTCCCTCTGTAGCCATCCCTCCCTGGCAGTGCATGTACCCGAAGCCTTCCCAGCAGAGAAAGCAACCAGAGTTCCCGGAGAGGACAGCCAAGAAGTAAAGACAGGCAGAGTCCTTCCTGACAAAATCTGTTACCTCCACGAATGTGGCTCGAAGCCCGGACACGTCCCTTTGCATCCCAAACATGCCACGCCTCTTGCTGACTGCAGCTGGCCCAGGGACATCTGGAAAAGGAACAGAAAAGAGGGTGTTTTCCTTCCAAAAGTCTTGCAATGGTGGAGATGCTTGACCTCCAAGAGACTTGGCATGCTGGCAACGGGACCACGCAGGGTTCAAAGTGGCTGGAGATCAATAAGCCATCACCAAGTGTTCACTAGGAACAGCGGAGACCAGGCTGGATATGGAATGTGGTTCTAGGGCTGGCAGAGGTAGAAGAGTGAGGCCTTCCCAGGGAGAATGCAGTGGAGGGCTCATCTTTCCCAACCTCTAGTGCTGTCACAAACCATCCAGACTGGTTGGAACTATCCTGCTGTGAGTGGCCATCTGCTCCTCCCCCACCCGTGCCCATCCCCCCCATCCACTTGTCATGGAAATGGAATCTTCCACTGTCTCCTCTCCCTCCTTTATTTGTGATTTATTCATAGGGTGTGATTAAACCAACCTACAGGCACAAACAAATGTGCGAGCTGCCAAATGTTTATAGCTCAAAGCATAACTTAAATATTTTGCTAAAGCATTGAAAAAAAAAATCACACGAGCATTTAAAATCTCCTTTGGAAGGAGAACAATGCAGGAGACAGGTTTTATTACCGGTCACCAGTCAAAGGTAACGAAAGTGCATTGGCTGCTGCTGCAGAGGTTTTTAGACTTAATGGTTCTCAAATGGTATCTTCAAACCAGGAGCATCGCCTAGAAGCTTGCCAGAAATATAGACCCTTGGGCCCCATCTCAGCCCTTTTCAATAAGAACTTGTAATTTAACAAAATTCCCAGGAGATCTGTATTACATTCAAACTGGAGAAATAGTGGATTAGTATATAGAACTGCAGGCTGAGAAATTCACCTAACTCTCCCCTAGAGGTGGGGGTGGGGACACCTTGATACCCGGATGCCCTTTTTTTTGTGATTTTATCAGAAGCAGGGCTCAGCTCAGTATGCTTATGAGGTAGCTCACACCTATAATCCTAGCTCGCTGGAAGTTCCAAGCAGGAGGACTGCCTGAGCTCATGACTTTGAGACCAGCCTGAGCAAGGGTGAGACCCTGCTACTAAAAATAGAAAAAAACTAGTCAGGCATTGTAGTGGGCACCTGTAGTCCCAACTACTTGGAAGGCTGAAGCAAGAGGATCACTTGAGTCCAGGAGTGTGAAGTTGTTGTGAGCTATGATGATGTCATGGCACTCTACCCAGGGTGACAGAATGAGGGTCTGCCCCCCCCCAAAAAAAGAAAGAAAAGCAGGGCTCAAATTACTCAATCAATTACATTACTACTAACGTAAAGGGTCTCAACAAACATATTTATTCATTTAACCATTATTTAGCGTCTACTATGTACCAGGCACAGGGGATACAGCATAAGACACAGGTGGACCCTAGGGGACCCTAGGTAGGGGGACATAGAGAGGAAAAGTCATCTCACAATGGGAGGGGTAAGTCTGAGGTAAGGGCAGGTGCTTAGTAAGTAGTAGAAGGGTGTGCACTTTGGGGTCTGAGAGATCTGGATTCCAAATCCAGGTTTTCAACATATTGGCTGTGTGGCCTTGAACAAACTGAGCCTCAGTTTCCTTACCTGCCAAATGGGTACAGAGAGAATGTGATATACAATATATGTAAAGTGCAGGAGCACATTAGGCACTAGAAATGGTGACTGCTACTAACTTGCACACAGATTTCAGGAGCACAGAGGAAGGTGTTCGTACATTTATATGGGAAATCTAAGGAGGCTTCTTAGAGGGGGTGACTTTGGATTCGGGCTGTTCAAGGTGGAGAGAAGGCAATGCCCAGCATAAGGATAAAATGCACAAGGATAGAAAGGTCTGAAAGGCACTCTGTGTGGGGTGTCACAATTTGTGCCCTTTGGAGCATAACTAGTCTATTCTCTTTGCTTTTAAGAGGGGAAAGAACAAGCAGTTAAACTGTAGAGCCATCCTCATCGCCAGTTAGAATCCAAGGAAGGACGTGGAGAGAGACAGCTCTCCCCCTGCATCCCACCTCTCCCCCAGCAATGCTAGTTTCCTGCCTCCCATTTGGAGATTCCTGTTTACACTATGTCTCTGCAGACTCTGCTGTTTTGTTTAGCTCTCGTGTACAGTGTGCCGCTTTGGGAAGTAAGAGATGTGGTGAACCGAGTAGAGGGAAGTATCTTCATACTGCGGCCTATTCAGTGCTAGATTCACACTGAATGGGAAAATAAAGACGACACCCCTCACTAAGGCATCACCCGAAGCTGCAGAACTTTCATTTGCAGGCAGGACTTTGCTCCCGAAAGCCACTGGCATACAACCTTGCTCCTTTCCACATCTCCTTGACACCTTCATTTCTACTAGTTGAAATATAGTGGTCCTCCCACACTTAAAATTTGAGTGATCCAAAGTTTATTTTGGGAAGCATACAATTCATGAATAAGGCTTCATTGTCAGGCGGGTTCAGATACATACCAAAGAGATATGTGGAAGCATTTCGTAAGTGGCCAAACACCCTGCATGCCTGAGCATTATTGTTCTCCTAATAAGAGGCTGATTTAACTCTCATCTTACAAGGGGATTAGTCCCAGTGCTTGGCCCGGGAGTGGGGCTGCAATTCTGTCTGCTGGCACAGGGTCTGTTGTAGAAACAGTGACATCAGGCTGCCCATACGGCAGGGCACCGGCCTGCGATGCAGGGGCTGCTTTATGGTGCCAACCCTGGCATTTATTAGCTGTGCAACTGGAGAGGAGTCATTTCCTTGCCCAGCCTAAGTTTCTCCTCCATTAAATGAGAAAACTGGCCTGGATCAGGGTTGCCCAAATTCTCTTCCACTCGATACTCATGTTGTGAGGTGTTACAAAGTGGTGTGTGGTTGGGGGTGGGAGGGAGGACTGAGGGGTCAAATAAAAACGGAGAAAGGGAGGGTGCTGGGTGCAGAGAGGGTTCTAGACTTTTCACCCGCCAGGCTAGTAGAGAAGCAGGGGGAGAGGTGGAGAGCAGGCAGCTATTTCAAGTTCAGAGACGAGGCTTTGGGATCAGGCAGGTCCTCTCTTCTGCTGCACTTGGGCAAGTGACTGGACTCGGTGAGTCTCCCTCAGTGTCCTAACCTGCATCGTGGGGATAAAAGGAGCCCCACCTGCCTCCAGAGTTACAGCAGGGCTCACCAGGTGGCTGCGCCTTGCAGCCGAGTGTTTGTTGATGCTGTTCTCGTTACCATGTGTGGAAAACAGACTGAGAGACCCTAAATTACATGTTCTCGAAGAAAATTTGTTTAGCTGCTTCAGAATTCTGGGGAAGGAGTAAGTTTCAGAAGAACTATTTTTCTAACTGCACACCTTATATTCTTTCTTATTATCTCACATATATGAGATGCTTCTCTGACTAGGTTTTTTAAAAAGCAAAAAGAAGCCAGGCACAGTGGCTCACGCCTGTAATCCCAGCACTTTGGGAAGCCCAGGCAGGTGGACTGCTTGAGCTCAGTCGAGACCAGCCTGAGCAAGAGTGAGACCCAATCGCTACTAAAAATAGAAAAATTAGCCAAGCATGGTGGCAGGCACTTGTAGTCCCAGCTAATTGGGGGGCTGAGGCAAGAGGATCACATGGGCCCAGGAGTTTGAGGTTGCTGTGAGCTGTGATGCCATAGCACTCTACCAAAGGTGACAAAGTCATACTCAGTCTCAAAAAAAAAGAATTAAGTCCCTACACACACATTCCATACTTAAATCATTAACTTACAAGCAAAGCCATTCCTAGCCCTTTGCCCTTAAAATGCTCCATCACCCGAAGAAAATTGACATTAAAAATCACAAGCAGCACAAAGAAAGCCCAGCACAGTAAGGCAAGTGATGATGTAAAAATCTGGCCCTATGAGGCCAGGACACCAGACTAGATGTAGGTGCAGGAAGCAGACTCCGTCCTAGTCTCCATCCGGCTAGGGGAATGGTTTCCATGGCAACAATAGTCGCTGGGAGAGAAAAATAAATGCCCTTGCAAGGAAGAAGTGGCTTTGGGCCATCAGGCTGCACTTGCAGCCGGTTTCCTGGCTGGCTGTTTAACAGGGTAAATAGCCATTTGTCGGTTGCGTGCCGTTCATGCAGGAGCCAGACAAGCCCAGCTATCTTCAACACAGCAAATGATCTCATTTGCTGAGGAGAGGAAAACATCAGCTGGCAAGAGTGTTCCAAATGAGGTACTCCAGTTTATAAACAGTAGGTTCTCTGAGGCGGACTCTGTCTCCTTTGAAAGACAGCAGTGTCTCACAGTAGCTGAGAACAGAGGCACTCCAAAGAAACGATCACTTTAACAAAGATTTGCTGGAATGCAGCTTCTAATCTGCCCTTTCTCCCGAGGGGAGGAAAAGAAATGTTTTGACAATTTTCTTTGGCTCAGGTTAGTAGCATGTGGTTCATCTGATTGGTGTCATGGAACTGAATTGTGGCAGGCACTTAAAAGGACTCAGGTCAGACCAGAAGCCCCTGGAGATGTAAGGTGCAGAGGGCGACTGTGGACAGCTCTCTCCTTTAAGGGATGTCTTCAGGGGAAAAATGTCACCAAGAACAATGTAAGATTAAGAGGAATTGTAAAGGGGAAATGCAATGTAGAGATTAGGGGTGAGCTGGGATTTGAATTAGAAAATGGGGGCTCTCTTTGCAGCTCAGTTTCCTCCTCTGAAAACTGGATTATTCCCCCCCCCTTTTGTTGCCTCAATGAGGCATCCTGTAAAATTAAAAGGTTGTTTGTAAAATTAAATAGATGTTTACCATTGTTTAAAAACAGAAAAACTAGCCTGGCATTTGGGTGGATGCCTGTAGTCACAGCTATTCGGGAGGCTGAGAGAAAAGAATTGCTTGAGCCCAAGAATTTGAGGTTGTTATGAACTATGATGACACCCAGGGCAAAGAGACTCTATCTCAAAAAAGAAAAAAAAGAAAGAAAAAAATTATCCAAAATTTGGAGATAAGGCAGAAAGGTGGATGGTACACCCGCTCAATGTCACATAGTGACAGTGGCAGTAAGACAGCGGCTAAGAGTAGGGAGCAAA